CAGCACCCCAGCTGCTCTGCTCCCGGCTTCCCCGATTCAGCTGCTGGTCAGTTTCAGCAGCAGCTGAATGGGGGAAGCCTTTCTGGCTGCCCCAGCACTTCCGGGTTCCTGATGGTGCCGGACCATCAGGAGTCCCGGAGCATTGGATGCCGGACTAATGGAGTTTTACCGTATAACATCTTTACATCCTCAGGAAATTCTAAATTCAGAGATGAATGATATAACCAGCTTCAAGAACTCATTCAGACAATTCCATGTAACCAGTCCATACCTCAAGAGATCCCTCAGGGTATGTCTACACTACCCTCCTAGTTCGAACTAGAAATTTGTTATACAGTAGTTCATAGTAAGCTTTCAATCTGAAGATATCATGTTCATGTGGGAAAGTAGCTATGGACCATTAGGCGCATTATTCTTTAAATAAATATGGTAGCCTACTTATTTTTAATTAATTAATGCTATAATACCCGAAACCATGAAATGTAGTTAAATAACGTTGTCTTTATTTACTCATGGCACAATTAGTGCATAGAAATTGAGAACTCAGTTCCTGGTGCCAGTTAATAGCAGTACAGCAACAGTTTGAAGTGGACTTTGGGCAACATAAGTGTAGTTTCCCTGAGAGACACTCAAAAGAATATCATTACACAGAAGCTAAAGATGAACACTGTAACAAAAGTATTAAGTTTCTGCTCCTGCATTGAGATTATCATGGGCATAGGTCTGCTCATGCAAAATCTGAATCTAAATACATTCATAGTTTCTTGCCAAACATTATTCCACAGAATAACACTGGTTTTAATTTTCAAAAAGATTAACCAGTGTTTAAACATGCAAACCACTATTTTTTTAAAGAAGGTACTACATTTTAAAAAATACAGTGCTCCTTGCTTTTGAATTCTTTTTTAAAAAAGTGGTCTCACTCAAATCCTAACCTTGCCTCTGGACTTTTTTAGTTCTAGCACTAACACTTTCAAATTAGGTTTTATGAAGAAGATCCTCAGATCCTTAATTACAGCTGCATCTGCAAAAGTGTATTAAAGGCTCAAAACAGTGAACAGATTTTTTTTACTATTATAATAAATGGCAGTTTAACACATACTTTGTCACTAACCCAATAAGGAAGGCCAACAGTCAAATTTCCTTTAAGTGCTTAACCAACTGGTGAGATACTTTTCACACAGTATTAGAAAATAAAACTAAAACATAGTGCCTTGAAACTATCTATAATAGTTTAGTCTCGGCGCACTACGCTGGTACCTTGCAGTAGAGTGCTTTCTGGAAAAGAGGTTTGCTTAGCCAAAGACGAGGAAAGTTTGATCAATAAAAACCTCTCCACTGATCTTTAATTTTCTCTATCCAGTGCTTCAGCCTTATTTAATTCCTCAGTTTCCAGCTACACAATAAGGCCATAAAATATATTCCAATATAAGCCATCTTGGTGCTCAACTTTATACTTTCATTTGTTATTGTGCAAATTACTGATAAATTGTACTCGGTTACCTGGTTTGATTTCATTTGGTTTACATTGCACTTCTTCAACACAGTCTGCCGGAAACCATCCAACAAGTCCTCGGGTGCTTCCTTCCCAGAATCCACCTTCACCAATGCTTAAAACTAAACACAAAAGAGAAAGACAAATGGAACATTAGCCTTTTCACCCCTTTCCCTCCTCTGGAATAAATGTAAATGCTAAGATTGTTTAGACAATGAGTCAGATATGCATAGAACACCGATGAACATCAACCCAGCACAATAAGTCTAATTCTGCTTCCCAAAACACTTTCACAGAAGCAGACAGAGCTCAAGTGCACATGTGGTTCCCTGGGTCTGACTATGAACTTTTAAAATATACCTATGTATTCTGCAATATTGATGTTATGAATAATTAATTTCAGCAAGCACATCCAACTACTCTGAGACCCAGAGTACTGATGTGAAGGATTAATAACCTCAAGGGTTCACTTGCCATGAGCTGAAAATTCTTGGAAATGGATGCCCTAACCCAGTGTTTCTCAACCATTTTTTTTATAAAGTACCCCTTTTAAAAAAAATTATAAGTACCCCCCCAGTACTTACAGTTTTCAGATGCACACAATTTTTTTCTACTGTTGCAACAACTTAATCGTAACCAGGTGGGCGATGAAATTTTTGGATGTAAAAAGTACAAAATAATAAAACATTGTAAAACGTAACTGGAATTTGGAGAAAACTGAATTTTTTTTGTGCTGACATACCCCGCAGACTTCTGTAGAGTACCCATAAGGGTAATCGTACCACTGATTGAGAAACATTGCCCTAACCTAGCAGGGAGCAGGTTAGTGCTGGTATTTGTGTGTGCGCCTATGGGTGGTGGAGGGGCGGGAGGAGGGAGATGCAAGCACTGAACTCCCACATAGACCTTTTAAGTATCCTTCTCCAGCCAAGGGACAAAGAACCATTCAAGGTATTGTCACTAGTTTGGACCGCTTGTTCTAGACGTAGACAGATCTGTATCATGCTTGGAGCACAGCTTTGCAAGGGGAGTTCTGAATTCACAGGCTGCCATTTGCCCCAGGAGTTGAAGTCGCGTCCTTGCTATGGTTTGAGGGCTCAGTAGTAGTGTGTAAATGAAGCTGGACATTAAAGCAAACTTGTCCATAGGAAAGTACTCTCTGGCAAGTGTGAAGTCCAGATTCTATCCATTGTACGGGTGTAAAAGCATATTGTTTGATGCTGATTTGAAGGCCTAGAGTGTGGAACAGGGATAGGGCCATACTGGTTGTCAACTAAACCTTGAGAAAGGAACAAGAGACAGTTTTTGAGACATGGAAAACAATTACTCGTATCTGATGAAGATGGACTGTAATGGCCAACAGGACTTTTGTCAAGATCCTCAGGACAGTTGAAAGGGCAACGGTCAGGACACATTACTGATAGTGATCTGTGTCAATGATGAATCATGGGATGTGTCTGTGGAAGAGCTGCACAGCTCTATGAAAATACGTATCTTGGTGGACAAGGGTAATGGAGCAGGCCCCTAGATCCCAAGGTGGGACTATCAGCGCTGAGGACTAAGATGTTTAAAATCCTGAAATCAAGAATGGGTCTTCATCCTCCTTTTCTCTTGGAACCAGAAAGTAGAACTCTTTTCCAAGGAAATACAGGAGAGAATTCAGCACGTGTTGTAAAAGACCCTGTAAGACAGGTCCCAGGAGTGTTGAAGAGGTGTGAGAAGGATGGAGATGAACAAGATGGAATTTAAATTACCTCGAGGTTTCATATGTCAGATGATGAGCTTCTAGGAAAGGGAAAATGGGAGATGCAGACTCCATAATTTTGATGGAGAGTGGATTGGTGCAACAAAGGATTCAGGTTGGTGCAACCCTCAACCAATGTGTCAAATACAATCACTTAGAAGAAATCATTGAGCAATGTCATTAGGAGGATGACTCCATCTTAAGAAATCTGACCTGTTTCTGTGTGGCTCAGTAGAGGTTTGGTAGTGGACAGATGAAGACTGCTGAGCTGTTTTTGATCTGTGGCAGGTATACAGATGCCAAGAGTTTGTAAAATTGCCTTGTATTTGAAAGAGTGGAAGGATCACTCTTTGACAACAGAAAGAGTCTAATTTTTCGAAGGGAAGGTCCTCTAAGATATTGTATACTTTTCAAGACAGGCCAGAGGATTGCAGTCATGACATACCACACCACACCACATGACTAGGGCACTTACTATAGAACTCAAACGTGTGTCCATACTGAGGACAGGAAGCTGCTGGAGTTGCTGCAGGATAAATGCTTCTCCCCCCGCCCGGCAGCTCCATGCCCATGTCCTGAGCCCCTAGCTGGGCAGGGGTTATTAAACAGCTGCAGGGCTTAGAGGGAACACTGGTGGTGATTCCTCTATTCCTAGCTCCTGCTCTTTTGGAAGCTCTTCTTGAGGAATAGGGTCATGAACCCTCTTGCACAGCATTACAATGTAGAACTGATTGCCATAGGGGACCCAAGGATTCTAGAAATCTGATGAGGCATAACCAAATGGGGTAGGACCTAAGGGAAATCCTGCCGGGGTTGATAAATCAGAAGTCTACTGGAGTGTCTCATACTCAGGATGTGCCTTAAGGGAGGGAAGGTGGAAAAGGAAGCTGGTGGA